GCCTGGCCCAGACCTGGCTGTTGCGGCTGTTTGGGGAGTGAACCGGTGGATGAAAGGTCTCTCTCTCTCTCTCGCTTTCTAATGAATTAGTTCACTTCAGAGAAAGCTGCTGCTTGGGCCGCCCGCTTCCCATATTGCAGTGTCTGGTTGAGCCCTGGCTCTGCGTGTGCTCTGAGGCAGCAGCTGACGGCTCAGGTTCCTGCGCGCCGACCGCCCCCTGGGAGACCCACGCTGAATTCCGCGCTCCTGGCTGTAGGCAGGGGCTGCTGCTTACAGTGATGCCTTCAGTTTTACATTTCCTTTCTAATTAAGCATACACACACAGTGTCGCACTGTGGCGTAACAGTGTAAGCCTCCGCCTGTGACACTGGCATCCTATGTGGGCGCCAGTTCAGGATCCAGCTCCCTGCTAATGCTCCTGGGAAAGCAGCAGAACCACGCACCCCCGGCCGTTGTGGCCACGTGGGGAGTGAACCGGCGGGTGGAAGGTTTCTGTCTTTGTGTCTGTCTTCCTCTCTGTGTAACCGTACCTTTCAAATAAAAAGTAAAGGATGGGGCCGGGGCTGTGGCGTAGCAGGTCTGAGGCCTGGCTCTACTTCTGGTCCAGCTCTGTGCCCGGGAAAGCAGTGTAAGATGGGCCCCTGCACCCACGTGGGAGACCCGGAAGAAGCTCCTGGCCCCTGCCTTCGGATCAGTGCAGCTCCGGCCGTTGCGGCCATTTGGGGAGTGAACCAGCGGATGGAAGGCCTCTCTCTCTCTTTCTCTCTCTGTCTCTCTTTAACTCTGCCTTCCAAGTAAATAAATAAATCTTTTTAAAAAAAACACACAATTCTAATCTTCCATCTCTTCAGATCTGTTGATTTCTTTTTCTCTCATGGGCTCTGTCTGCTTTCATGCTCAGATCGTCACTGCTGTGTCAAGGTTACTTGATTACTCAACGGTACGCTTTTATTTTTTTTAAAAAGATTATTTATTTGAAAGGCAGAGTTACAGGGGGAGGGGGGGTCTTCCATCCGCTGGTTCACTCCCCAGATGGCCACAATGGCCGGAGCTGGGCCAGTCCAAAGTCAGGAGCCAGAAACTTCACCCGGGTCTCCCACGTGGGTGCAGGGGCCCAAGGACCTGGGCCACCATCTGCTGCTTTCCCAGGGGCATTAGCAGGGAGCTGGATTGGAAGTGGAGCAGCTGGGTCTCGAACCAGTGCCCGCAGGGGATGCTGGTGTTGCAGGTGGTAGCTTTACCCACCACGTCACAGCGCCGGCCCCTTATTTTTGTATTTAGCTATTCCATTGCAATGTACTTTGAAACGTGTGAGGAGGAAGGGGTCTGATTTTACCTCGCCCCGTGGATAGTCTGGTTGCCCCAGGGAAGCTGACGACCAGGTAAGGTGCTGTTTCCTGGTGTTGCAGCTTTATTTGAGGTTAAACTCTGGCCGCAGCGTGTCTCCTCTTTTGGCCTAGCATTCTTGTTCTTTAATCAGGCTGGTCCTGTTCTGCCCCACACACTCCTGTTACGTAGTGAGGTGTTTGGGTGTTTTTGTCTTGGTTTGGTTTGGTTTCGTAATTGTTAAATACCTGGGGAGGTCAGTGAGGTAAGGTCTCCTTCCCGGCCCTGCGGTCACTGTTTACAGCCGACCTCGGCGGCTCCAGCGCGCCCTCTCCCTCTCCCTCTCCCTCTCCCTCTCCCTCTGCCTCTCCCTCTCCCTCTCCCTCTCCCTCTCCCTCTCCCTCTGCCTCTCCCTCTCCCTCTCCCTCTCCGGGGGACCTGGAGCCGTCGAGTGGGCAGGTGTATTGACCCGTTCCTGCTCCTCCCCACCTCAGAACCCCAGGATTTGCCTTGGGCCGGGGGCACCCGGCACATGGGAGCCAGCCGAGTGCGCTGCCGCCTCCGGCCCCGGCACACCTGCGTCCACGCACTGGCTGTCAGAGACCACACGCCATCGCTGTTTCCATGTGCAGGGCCCGGCGGGGGGAGGGGTGTCTGTCCCTGGGGCCACACTTCCCCTCTTCTTTCTTCTTTTTGTAGAAATACTTATTCATTGTATGTATTTGAAAGGCAGAGTTAAGGCAGAGAGTGAGAGAGCTTGCCCATCCACTGGTTCACTCCTCAAATGACCGCAACAGCCAGGGCTGGGCCAGCTCGGAGCCAGGAGCTTCATCCGGGCCTCCCGTGTGGGTGCAGGGACCCACGGGGGCCATCTGCGGCTGCTTTCCCGGATCCATCAGCAGGGAGCTGGGTCCTGAACCGCTGCTCCACTGCAGATCCAGCTCCCTGCTGGTGCACCAGGGAGACAGCAAAGGATGGAAGGATGGCCCGAGTCCTTGGGCCCCTGCACCCACGTGGGAGACCTGGAGTTCTCGTCTCCTAAATTCAGCGGCGCAGCATTTGAGGAGAGAACCAGGGGATGGAAGACCTCGCTGTCTCTGTCTCTGTCTCTACCTCTCTCTACAACTCTATCTTTCAAATAAATGAAATAAATCTTTTAAGAATTGGTTTATTTATTTGAAAGACAGAGTTAGAGAGAGCGAGCGAGGTTGTCCATCTTCTGCTTCACTCCCCAGACGGCAGCAGCCTAGGTTTCCTCCAGGTCTCTCGTGGCTGGGACCTGGACCAGCCGGGTTGTGCCGTCCATCTTCCTCCTCCACGCACTCATGGAGTGAACAGTCTTGATAGTTCCTGGGTCCAGCCCTGGGCCGGGCGGTGCTGGCCACACGACAGCGATCCAGACGGCCTGGGCCTTGTCTCCGAGCTCCCGTCCCCGGGCAGTGGTGACCCAGGGGACAGGGCTGTGGTGGCAGATCCCTGGGGGTCGAGGAGGAGCCGTCGAAGCTAAGCACCCGAAGGCCCTAGAGCAGCTCGAGGCTTACTGGAGCCTGCTGGGTGCAGCTGACCGTCAACACAGACGGCTGCCAGGAGCATGGCCGCCGCCCACACAAGCCCAGGCCCTCTCCCTGCCGCCCCGCGGCCTGGGCAGGGGTCTGCCCCCCTGGTGTCAGGTCAGTTTCATGGACCCTTCTCAGAATGCTGATTTCTAAAGCCAGAAAAATAAAACAAGATTATAAAGGAGGCCAGCGACAACCCCATTCAGATCCGGAACGCGGTGTCTGTGACCTCTTCCTTGAGCCGCGGCGCGACGGGGCCCGTGTCCGCAGTCATGATGGCATGCAGCGTGTGGCGCCCTAGGTGACGTGGGACCGCCTCTCCAGGACGGTTGCAAGATCTGCTAAACTGACTTCTTGCTGAATTCCAGTTGAGCTCGTGAAAAGAAGAGGGAATCTGCCCACACACGTGTGGTCCTGGGTGCTTAAGACCAGGGCATGCAAGCACAGGGCTGGTTCCGAGTTGGAAGCTGCCTCCCAGGTGGAGCCGGCTCCTGTCCCCACCCGAGTCCCGGGACCCCCAAGTGCCTGGGCCTTGTGAGAGCGTCCTCTCCCAGGCCGCAGGAGGGCTGACCACGGCCCCGGCCTGGCCTCTGCCGTCTCCCGTCCCGCCGGCCCCAGGGCGTGGTTTCTTCCTTAGACCAGTTTCCTGTCCCGGAACGTGGCTCAGGGCTTGATGGGAAGAGGGGTGCAGGGCATCTGGCCTAGCTGGAGCGGGAGAAGGGGTCCACACAGGGACCGTTACCAGACAGTGCTTCAGGGCCTCCTGAGGGTCCCCAGGGGCCGGGGCCTGCGTTTGTGAATGGGCACAGGGGAAACGTGCCGCGTTGCCATGGGAATGTCGGGTAGCTCAGCACCTGTGCTGTCGCCTCTGTGGCCACCCCATTCTGCAGGCCCAAGATCTCCCTCCCACTCCCCCCGCCTCTCCCCTCCCTCTCCTTCCCTCTCCCAAGAGAGATTTATTTATTTAAAAGAGAGGTCATCCATCTACGGGTTCACTCCCCACATGGCCACAACAGCCAGGGCTGGTGCAGGCCAAAGCCAGCATCCCAGAGCTGCATCCAGGCCTCTCAAGCGGGTGGCAGGGGCCCTGTCACTTGAGCCCTCCTCTGCTACCCCCCCCCCGGGCACACTGGCAGCGCCTCATCAGAAGCGGGGCAGCGGGGACTGAACCCCGCTCCAGTGTGGCCCTGGCCAGAGAGCCCCGCCCTCTCCCTGCCCTGCTGGTGACCTCTCCCGCCACCCTGGGGCAGTCCAGGCCCCAGTGCCCACAGGTGGAAACAGAGCAAGCCATTTGCTTAGCCATTCAGCTGGAGAATGGGTAAACAAAATGTGGCCTGTGTGATCGCCACTCACGGCGTCCGGGGAGGGGCCAGCTGCGGGGGGCGCAGTGTCTAATTCCGGCTTTGAAACGTTCAGCAGAGGCGAGTCCATGCAGACAGAAAACCCAGCCCTGCCTTCTCAGCACTGGCCACGGGCTTGCCAGGGCTGGGCTGTGTGCACCTGTCGCCTGGCCCTGCCGCCGCCAGAGCACGTGGAGCTGTCGGGTGTTTGGGGCGTGGGAGTCGGCAGGGCCACAGTCATTGCCTCAGGAGCTGAGCTCCAGTCGGCTCCCTTCTGTGCCACCATGGGCACGCCGCTTCCCCTCTGAGCCTGTTTCCTCCTGGGGTCAGAGTGAGGCTTCGCTCGCTCATCAGAAAGGCATGAACACCTGCGCTGGGCCTGCTGCCACGGTGTGCAAGGGACCGGCAGGAAGGGGTCCCCACGTGCTCCCCAGCCTCGGGGAGCTCCCTGTCACCGTCTGCAGATTTCGGTGCCACACGCAGTGTTGGGGCATGGGGTTGACCCCGACAGCCCCCGCCCTGCTCTTGGGGGCTCACAGGCTGGTGGGGGCTGACACATGGAAAGTTGGATGGCACGTGTGTGGCGGCGCCCAGGGAGCCAGGCGTGCGGCGTGGAGGGCAGTGCTGGCCGGGTTTAAGGATGCCTGGGACAGCAGTGGGTGGTGAGGGTCTCGGGTCGGAGTGTGGCCAATCTGGCAGGGAGGGGTTTGAGGGACTGGGCAGGGCTGGAGCCCCGAGCGGGGCCGAGTGGAGAGTGACGCCGGCCCTGTGTCTGCAGCCCAGAACGTGACCGTGGACGAGGTGATCCGTGCCTACAAGCAAGCCTGTCAGAAGCTGAGCTGCAGGCAGATCCCCAAGCTCCTGCGGCAGCTGCAGGTATGGCGGGGCGCCGTGTTCCCAGAGCGCTGCCGGCCCCGTGGAGCGGAGAGGGCGGCCCCGTGTTCCCAGAGCGCCGCCGGGCCCCGTGGAGTGGAGAGGGCGGCCCCGTGTTCCCAGAGCGCCGCTGGCCCCGTTGAGCGGGGCGGGCTCTAGTCCAGCTCACACAGAGCACGAAACTCCATCACCAGGGGAAAGCTGGTACTTACCAGTCTGAACTAGAGACGATACATGTATCGTCTGACTTTTAAAGGTGAAAGTTCGCAGACACAGTGCAGAGTCCCCCATGTTCCTCCCCGAGACCCACGGCTCTGTGTGTGCAGGGCCCCTGACAGACACGCGGGGAGTTTCTGTTGGCGGTGGTCCTCCCCCCACCCCCCCACCCCTGGCGCCTTCCCTGCAGCCCGGCTGCCTGGCGGCAGGTGAAGCTCCCCAGCGCTTCTCCTCTGGACGGGCGCAGTGGGCCCCGAGTGCCTGTCTCTGGGGTGCAGGTCCCTCAGCCGCCCGCCTCTGTGCGCCTGGGCTAGGGGATGGGGCCGCACAGGGGGCCAGGAGCCCTGCCTGCTTCAGATGGGCCAGCCCTGTGCTAGCCGCGTGAGCTGGCCAAGCTTGGGCCTTAGCCCCTTCGTGCCCAGGCATCAGCCAGCCTCCCCCTGTGTGGGACAGTCTGTAGCAGAGAACAGCCCTGGTGTCTATGGGAGCGCTTTGCTTTGAGCGCCCCCAGGAGGAGGCTGGGAGGAACTTGGCTGGTGCCGGCACTGCTGCACGGAGTGCCTGCTGCGTCCCAGCCTCAGCTCAGCCTCCTGCCAGCCCTGCGCACTCTGCCCTCTGCCCGCACACCCCTCCGTTCAGCTGGGCCGAGAGGGCAGCACCCAGGCCCGCAGGGCACCGGGGTGGGCTGTATTCAGGCCCTGTGGGCACAGAGCTCCCTGGTTTCCAGCGGTGGACATGCTCTAGGCCTCCCCCGAGCCCGGCCGCAGAGCCTGGCCCTGCAGGCCGTCCCAGCCAGCGTCCTGTCTGCCTCCCCAGGAGTTCACGGACCTCGGGCACCGCATCGACTGTCTGGACCTGAAAGGTGCGTGTCTGGCAGGCGGGGCCTGCGGGGGGGCCGGGCGTGGAGCCGCAGGGCCCTTCCCGCCTCCCTTGGCCAAGCCCCCGTGCAGCGTGCGCCATGCTCATGGCCGCTGCCCCCAGGTGAGAAGCTGGACTACAAGACCTGTGAGGCCCTGGAGGAGGTCTTCAAGCGGCTGCAGTTCAAGGTCGTGGACCTGGAGCAGACGAACCTGGATGAGGATGTGAGCGGCCCTGTCCCCGCCCGTGCGGCTCCTGAGCTCTCCCAGGCCTTGGGGCAGGAGAGGCCCCTCGACACAGGCTGGGGAGTGGGGTGCGGGCAGGGCCCCTGAAGGGCAGGAGGGGCCCCTCAACACAGGCTGGGGAGTGGGTGCAGGCGGGGCCCAAAGGACAGGAGGGGCCCCTCGACACAGGCTGGGGAGTGGAAGCAGGCGGGGCCCAAAGGACAGGAGGGGCCCCTCCACACAGGCTGGGGAGTGGGGTGTGGGCAGGGCCCCTGAAGGGCAGGAGGGGCCCCTCAACACAGGCTGGGGAGTGGGGTGCAGCGGGGCCCCAAAGGACAGGAGGGGCCCCTCAACACAGGCTGAGGAGTGGGTGCAGGCAGGCCCCTGAAGGGCAGGAGGGGCTCAGCAGCCTGCTGAGGGGAGAGCTGCGGCCCGTGGGCTGCCCCGGAGAGGACATCACCGCGGGTGATCGGAGCACGCCTGTCCTCTGAGACCAAGGTGTTCCTGCCTCTGGGGGCAGGGGACAGGAACAGACCGGGGGACTCCTGGGACCCGACCCAGCGGGCCTCGTCCTGCCGCAGGCTTGGCTACTGCCGCGCAGCCGCTCCCTCCACGCTGGACACCCAGACTGCTCTCAGCTGAAGCTGGCCCCGCCCCCCCCCCCCCCGGGTCCCCGCGGCCCAGGTCCAGCCCGTGTCTCTGCCCCCAGGGTGCCTCCGCCCTCTTCGACATGATCGAGTACTACGAGTCGGCCACACACCTCAACATCTCCTTCAATAAGCACATCGGCACGCGGGGCTGGCAGGCCGCCGCCCACATGATGCGCAAGGTGGCTGCTTCCGCCCCTGAGCCGCCCCGCCCCGTCTCCCCTGACCCTCCTCCCCGCCCCCTGCACTCCGGGATCCCTGCAGGTGGCTGTGCTGGCCTCGCCCCATCACTCACACACGGGAAAGGTGGGCCCAGAGGGGAGCCCCCCATCACACACACGGGAAAGGTGGGCCCAGAGGGGAGCCCCCCATCACACACACGGGAAAGGTGGGCCCAGAGGGGAGGCCCCCATCACTCACACACAGGAAAGGTGGGCCCAGAGGGGAGGCTCCCCATCACTCACACACACGGGAAAGGTGGGCCCAGAGGGGAGGCCCCCCCTATCACTCACACACACGGGAAAGGTGGGCCCAGAGGGGAGCCCCCCATCACACACACATGGGAAAGGTGGGCCCAGAGGGGAGCCCCCCATCACTCACACATGGGAAAGGTGGGCCCAGAGGGGAGGCCCCCCCATCACTCACACATGGGAAAGGTGGGCCCAGGCTGAGCCTTCCCTTGCCAACCGTGGCTTCAAAACCAGATGACAGCTTGCTCTCCCCTGGACCGTGGGGTGGCAGGACCCTCAGAGAGCACTGGGGCCGGGCCTAACCAGCGCCCGCCCCGGCTCCCAGACCAGCTGCCTGCAGTACCTGGACGCGCGCAACACGCCCTTGCTGGACCACTCGGCGCCCTTTGTGGCGCGCGCCCTGCGCATCCGCAGCAGCCTGGCGGTGCTGCACCTGGAGAATGCCAGCCTGTCGGGGAGGCCCCTCATGCTGCTCGGTGAGCGCGGGCGGGGGCCGGGGGCTGCTGCTGGCCAAGGCTGGCGCGGGGCCTCGGGGGAGGCCCGGCCGGTCACTGCCCACCTCGCCCCCAGCCACGGCCCTGAAGATGAACGTGAGCCTGCGGGAGCTGCACCTGGCCGACAACAAGCTCAATGGTTTGCAGGACTCGGCCCAGCTGGGCACCCTGCTCAAGTTCAACTGCTCCCTGCAGATCCTGGACCTGCGCAACAACCACGTGCTGGACTCAGGTGCGTGCTGCTGGCTCCGACAGGCACACACACACACACACACACACACCCTGCAGCGGTGACCCTGGGTGGCAGGGCCGGGCTGGGGAGCCCAGAGATGGTGTCTGGGCCAGACTGGTAGTCGGCGGCGACTACCAGTCTGGCGACAGCTCAGCAGACCCTCAGAGCTTGCAGTGAGGTGTTGACGTGATTCAGGTGACCTTGAGTCCCCGAGAGACCACTCAGGATGAAGGTGCGGGTGGAGGAGCGCCACAGTGTGGGGCCTTGACCTCAACCAGTCCTGTGAAAGCCCAGAAATAGAACCCAGGGCCGTGATGGCAGGTGCAAAGGCCCTGGGGCGGGGGAAGAGCTTGGGTGTTTGCTGTTTGGCAGGGGGCGGCCCCGTTAGTGGGGTGGAGGCCCCAACAGTCAGCAGGAGGAGCGCAGCGCTCCACCAGGGGCTATGCGGGTGTGGCCCCCTCCCTGTTGAGCAGCGTCCCCTGGCCGTCCTGTGAGGACAGGGCCGGTAGGGTCAGAGGGTGACTTGGAGTCCAGCGCCCCCACAGGGCAGCGGACCCCATCTGCCAGGGGCCAGAGCTCAGAGGGCCACAGCTCTGCCCCGTGCACCTGTGAGAGGCAGGGTGCGAGTGAGCTGTCCATGGTGCTGGCACGAGCTGGCGCGGCCGGGGCGGCCCCCTGAGGGTCCCCGCCCGGGCTGCACGCCAGGCCCTGACCGCGGCCTCCTCCAGGTCTCGCCTACATCTGCGAGGGCCTCAAGGAGCAGAGGAAGGGGCTGGTGACCCTGGTGCTGTGGAACAACCAGCTCACGCACACGGGCATGGCCTTCCTGGGCATGACGCTGGTGAGTCGGGGAGGGCCCGGGGCCGCAGCCGGCCTCCGGGGGTCCCTGGGGAGGCAGCCCCTCCCTCACTGTCGCCTTTGGTCCAGCGCTGCAGACCCAGGCAGCGCTTGGCACAAGGGGCAGCTCTTGCCTTGGCTGCTTTGCATCTGTGTGTCCCACGCTGCTGTAAGCCAGCCACGCAGGCGCACACTGGCCTGGGAGCCCCCTGTACCCAGCAGCCAGGAGGTCGCGCCCGGGGGCTGGGCCTGAGTCCTCAGAGGCCCCTGCAGCCCGGGCCAGCGCCGCGGGTGCCTGCGGGGCCGAGGCCCGCCCGGGGCTGCCTCTGGCTTTCTTCTGAGCCTTCCCTCCACCAGCGGCTTCCTCCTCGTCCTCACCCCTGCCCCCCCCCCCCCCCCAGCCACACACGCAGAGCCTGGAGACCCTGAACCTGGGCCACAACCCCATCGGGAACGAGGGCGTGCGGAACCTCAAGAACGGGCTCATCAGCAACCGCAGCGTGCTGCGCCTCGGCCTGGCCTCCACCAAGCTCACGTGCGAGGGTAGGGCGCCGGGCCGGGCCGGGCCGGGCCGGGGGGCGCGGGGCCGGCCTGCCAGGCATGGGGCCCGTGGCCAGCCCCTGCGGTCCCCCTCGCAGGCGCGGTGGCGGTGGCGGAGTTCATCGCCGAGAGCCCCCGCCTCCTGAGACTGGACCTCCGGGAGAACGAGATCAAGACGGGCGGGCTCATGGCGCTGTCCTTGGCCCTCAAGGTGAACCACTCCCTGCTGCGCCTGGACCTGGACCGTGAGCCCAAGAAGGAGGCGGTGAGCGGGGCTCCTCGGGGGCCGCGGGGCGGGCGGGCGTGCGGGCGGGCGGCGGGGCCCGGAGCCCTAGCCAGGCCACTCTGCCGCAGGTCAAGAGCTTCATCGAGACCCAGAAGGCGCTGCTGGCCGAGATCCAGAACGGCTGCAAGCGCAACTTCGTGCTGGCGCGGGAGCGCGAGGAGAAGGAGCAGCGGCCGCAGCTGTCGGCCTCCATGCCCGAGATCACCGTCACCGAGCCGCCGCCGCCCGCCGCGGCGCAGAACGGGGCCCCGGGCCCCGGGCCCGGCCCGGACTCGGACTCGGATTCAGACTCTGAGGGGGAAGACGAGGAGGAAGACGGGGAGAGGGACGAGGCCGGCGGAGACCAGAGTCCCTCGACCCCCTGCCCTGCCCTGGTGCCCCCCACAGACTCCCTGGGCCCTGGGGACAGGAGCCCCCCAGGGAGCCCCTCCTCCCCCTCTGAGCAGCGCATCTCCGTGTCCAGCCCGGGCCGGGGCCACAAGGTGTTCGTGGTGACCCGGGTGGAGAGTCCTCCCGAGAGGGCCGAGCCCCCTGTGCCGCCCGCCCACCTCTCCCCACCCTCCTCCCCACCCTCCTCCCCCTCCTCCCCTGTGCTGCCGCCAGCTGAGGGCGACGGCCGCCAGGACCCAGGATCACCTGAGCCGCAGCCGCAGCCGGAGACGCCTCAGCCAGGGCCGCCGCTGCCCAACGGCCTGAAGCCCGAGTTTGCCCTCGCACTGCCCCCAGAGCCGCCCCCGGGGCCCGAGGCCAAGGCGGGCAGCCGCAGCCTGGACCACGGTGAGGCCCGGTGCCAGCACGGCCTGTCGCTTAGAGGCCCCTTGAAGGGGCAGGGAAGGTGGGGCTTGGGGCCTGCTGCCTGCCCGCCGCCCTCCCCGGGGTGGGGGCCGTGCACCTGCTGCCCAGTGTCTGGTGGGGACAGGCGGGCCTGCGGCTGGCCCGCTGCCGCCTGACCGGAGCCCCCTGCCCGGCCTCGCCCGCAGAGCTGAGCTGCCCCGAGAGCGAGAAGGAGCTGGAACAGCTGCTTCTGGAGGCCAGTCAGGAGCCGGGGCAGGAGACACTGTGACACTTTAGGTGAGGGGGCGGGGCGGGGGCGGGGCCAGGGCGGGGCGGGGCGGGGGCAGGAGACACACTTTAGGTGAGGGGGCGGGGCCAGAGCGGGCCGGGGCGGGGCCGGGGCGGGAGACACTTCAGGTGAGGGGCCGGGGCGGGGCCGGGCCGGGGCAGGAGACACTGTGACACTTTAGGTGAGGGGCGGGGGCGGGGCGGGGCCAAAGCGGGCCGGGGCAAGAGAGACACTTTAGGTGAGGGGCGGAGGCGGGGCGGGGGCGGGGCCAGGGAGGGGCGGGGCCGGGGCAGGAGACACTGTGACACTTTAGGTGAGGCGGCGGGCCGGGGCGGGGCCGGGGCGGGCGGCTGGGCGGGCTCTGCGCTCACCGCGGCCTGGCTTCTCCCCAAGTTCCTTTCTTCCGCTCGGTCTGGGAGGAGCTGAGGCCAGAGCCGTGAGAATCTGCTCACCGTCCTCGCCGCGTTCCGGGGCCCAGGACGCCAGGGGCGGGAGCCCACGACACTACCGGCGCAGGAGCCACGGGAGGCCCCGCCCTGACTTCACTTGTATTTATGTGCCCCTCACTCTGAGACTGGACACGGCTGGGGGTGGCCGGGAGGAGGAGGACGGGAGGCGGCGCCTGCGAGGCCGTCGGGCCGCCGGGCCGGGCCCTGTGGCGGAGGGGCCTGCCCGTGGTGGTGGGTGGTCCCCGTGAGCGGGCGCAGCACCAGGCAGGAGGCGTGGCGTGGGGGCACTGAGGTTCCTACATCAGCCCCAGGCGGGGCGGGGGGCGGGGGGCTGGGAGTGGAGGACCAGAGCTTTCTTTCTTAAGTGCAATAAATCTATCAGGGAGCGGGGGCGGAGCAGCGCGCACCCGGGACCCTGCTGCCCGGGCGTGAGGGTGCCCCGGAAGCACTACAGGCGGCGGGTGGGCGGGGCTGGGGGGGCTGCCCTGGCCGCGCAGCTCTGTCCACACCTTTTCTAATAAACTGGGGCTGGGCTCACCTCGCCTGCTGTGCTGCCGCCGCCCCGGGCGCCCCGTGCGCCCCGTGGTCCCCAGAGGCCGGGTGGGCCGGAGCCGCTTCTCTTCCCCGGCTCTCGGGGTGCCGGCTGTGCCCTCAGCCCCGGGTGTCCTGTGCCTCGGTGCTGGCAGACGCCGCCTCGTCCCCACCAGCCCCCGACGTTCGGATGGGAACGGGCGCGGGGCCCGCACGGCTCCCGCTCCCTGCTGCCCAGTGTGGCTGGCGCGCAGCGGGAGCGCTGAGAAGTGCCGGGAAGGCTGTAGCAATGCCAGCCCCAGTACAGCCGGCTCCCCACAGACCTGGGGCCACAGTGGAGACTCCGTCTGGGTGCAGGGCTCACGCCACGGCCACCCCGCTGCCCTGTGGCACCCGTCCCCAGCCCTGAGCGTCCTCTGATGCCGGCTGTAGCTGGCTGGGAGGTGGTGTGAACATCCCGTCTGCGCCCAGCCCCCAGGATCCCGGCAGGCCCTGGGCCAGCTGTAGCTGCGGCCTGTGGCGGAGCCCCTGGGGTGCACCCACGCCCTTGGCCCTCTGCCTACACCCCTGCACCGGGGGTGCAGGGCTCGGCCTGTTCACCTTTGTGTGTGCCTCTGGGGGCTGGATCACATTCCCCCCACACAGGGGACCAGGGTCTTCAGGGAGACGACCAGGCTAAAATGGCAGCCTTGTGGGCTGCGGGCTAGAGTGATGGGTGTCCTCTAAAGTGGGGTGGAGGCAGCCCGGCAGAGCCCCGTGGGAAGACGGGATGCAGTGGGCGTGGAGGGCCCTGGACTGCCACCCACACCCTGGGAGCTGGGGGGGGGGGCGAGGAAGGGCGGCCTGCGGAGTGGGCCACGGTGGGCTCTCCCTCGGAGCCCCCCAGGCTTTGGCAGTCCCAGGTGTTGGGGTCCGGGTGCTGAGGGGACCTTTCACCCTCAGCCACTAGGGTGTCACCAGGTTTGGGCCCCGCAGCCCTGGCTGAACACAGGACTCCACGTGACTGCTTGGCTGTGTGCCGGCACAAGGAACAGGTGCCGCGGGACCCTTCCAGGCTCTCGTGGCTCTGTCACTCCCTAGAGCCAGCCGACAGATGGGGGAGGGGAGAAAGCAAACAGCCCATCTCGGGCGGAGACGGGAGCCGTCGCGCGCCCTCCGTTAGCCGCTCGGCCTCCCTCACGCGAGCTCCCAGCAGCTGCTGCTGTAGAAGGGACTCAGGGCCCTGGTGGGTGGGAGCCCGGCCACACCCAGCGGCCCAGTCGTGTGTGTGCAGCCCGCTCCAGAGCTGTGGCCTGGGCAGGCACGAGGCTCGAGTCTGCCCCCTGCTGGGCCTGGGGGTGCCCGGTCCTGCTCAGCCCCAGCCAATCCACAGGTCAGTCGCTTCCAGCCTGGACTCAAGGTGGTAAGGAGTTCAGCTCGGGCTGGCGCTGTGGCGTAGTGGTTAAGCATCAGCCTACAGCACCAGCAGCCCATGTGGGCCCCAGTTCGAGTCCCAGCTGCTCCTCTTCCGATCCAGCTCTCTGCTGTGGCCTGGGAAGGCAGTAGAAGATGGCCCAAGTCCTTGGGCCCCTGCACCCACGTGGGAGACCAGGAAGAAGCTCCTGGCTTCGGATCGGCGCAGCTCCGGCCGTTGCGGCCATCTGGGGAGTGAATCAGTGGATGGAAGACCTCTCCCTTTTTAACTCGGCTGCTCACATAAATAAATCAATCTTTTAAAAAGTTTTGTGGTTTTTTGTTTTCCAACTCAGACTGGCTCACAGGTGGAAGGGAAGGGGGCTGTGGGTCCTAGTGACGCAGACGCAGGCCCGGTGGTGTCACGAGGCCCTGGGACGTCGTCCTTGGCAGGCTGTCTCCTACCGTTGGGGAACATCACCAGCCTAGCCCAGCCAGGACAGAAATCCACTGCAAGAGGACGCTGGCCTGGGTCCACTTGTGTAGCGGCCGCTGTGGCTGGTGCAGTCAGACGCCTGCGTGAGGCCAGGGTCAGCCCTCCGCATCCAGGCCTGAGGCTGGGCGCCTCCCTGGGCCCTCAAGTCCCTCAGAGACGGCCCCTGGGCATGCCCAGTGTTGTCCCTACCCCACTGGGCCAGGCAGGCTGAGCGTTTGGCCATTGAGGAATCAGGTTGCCCAGAGGAGCGATGCCCCTGCCTCGGCTCCCTGCGCTCAGCTCCCGCGCCGTGGCCTCCCCGCCCGCATCAGAGCTGAAAGTGCGGCTTCAGTGTGGGCACCCAGTGAGGCCTTTGGGTGGGCCTGCAGTGGCGGGGAAGGCAGCCCCCCGAACAGTTACTTAGGAGGAGGCAAGGCCAGCCAGCCCAGCCAGGCCTCTTGAACCCATTATACTGAGGGTGGAGAGGCTGTGAGGTCACCGGGGCCACCACCCTCGGAAATGCCAGTTCCTACCCTGCCCTCGCAGGGGCAGGCTCGGGGGTGGGGACAAGGACGGGGACCCCTGAGGCCTAGGTGCTCCCGGATGCCTGAGTCACGCGGCCCGCCCGCCCTTCCTCTGCTTTTCCTCCCCACCGCCCCCGCAACCTGCTTGGCTGCCAGGGCACGGCCCGGAGAGGCCTGGCGCCCTGACGCGGAAGTGGCCTTGGCAGAACAAGGCAGGCCTGGTCCCCAGCTCTCCCAGCCAGGGAGTCCAGGATGCAACGAGCCACCAGGCCCTTTCCACACCCTCGTTTATTGCACTTGAACCCTGCCGTCCTAACTGGCTCTTCGGAACCGGCTCATGTGCCCAGGGAACACGCCCAGCGCCTGCAGGCCCCTGCCTGAGGCTGCTCTGGCTCAGAGACGCACCTGGAGGATGCGGCCACCCTGGGCCTCCCCCGGCCACTGGGCCCCGAGTCCCCAACAGCCGGCGTCCCCAGGAGGCCCTGCCGCCGGCGAGCACCCCCTTCCCCGCCCGCCTGGGCCGGATTTCTCCCCGGAGCCAAGGGCGCTCAGGCCACCGCCGGCCTCGGCTTGCCCCCGGGCGCCCCGTCCCGGGCGCGGTGGGCTTCGTTGGGGCTTCCCGCGGCCGCCGCCGCGCTGTGGGTCCGGTGGGGAGGCTCGCGCGCGGGGGACTTGGGCGGGCTGGCCGGCTTGAGCGCGCTGACGGCCCGGATTTGGCCCATGCGGCGGCGGATGGAGTGGTCCAGGTTGACCGTGCAGCGCAGCAGGCACTGCGCCTCGGCCACGGTGAAGGGGAAGTCGGCGCCCAGGAAGCGCTCGAAGAGCTCGGGGTCGCCGTCCAGGTCCAGCACGTTCTGCAGCGCCTTGGTCATGGTGTGCAGCTCGCGGCTGTTGTCGCGGAACACGTCCCAGAGGCGCGCGCGGCCCTCGGGCGCGCCGCCCGCCTGCTGCCGGTCCTCCAGGCACTGCAGCACCCAGCTGAGGCGGCAGGGCCACTGGTTGGCCAGCACGACCCAGGCGACGGCCTGGCGCGGCGTGGGGCCGCCGGACGCGGCCTGCTGCTGCTGCTGCAGCAGGCGCACGGTGATGGGCACGGTGTTGACGATGCGCCGCATGTACACCACGTTGTCCGGCACGTACTCGTACAGGCAGTCCCGCTCGTCGTGCAGGCAGAAGAGCGCCTCCTGGATGCGGCGCGCCGCCTCGGCGTCGATGCGGCCCTGCGTGCGCTCCGCCCCGGCCTGCGTCTCCACGGCCAGCAGCTGCGCGCCCTCGCCCCCGCCGCCCCCGCCGCCGCCGCCCGGGCGCCGCAGCTTGCGCGTGATCTCGCGGTAGAGCAGGTCGTCGCGGCTCTGCACCGCGTCGTGCAGGAACTGCAGCTTGGTGCGGCGGCCCATGATGGGCACCGAGAAGGGCAGCGTGACGGTGCGGTTGAGGAAGAGGTAGCCGTTGTCGGCCGTGCCCTTCATGTTGCCCGCGCTCTCGAGGCACGCGGCCAGGATGCTGGGGTCCACGACCAGGATGAAGATGAAGGGCGCGTGGCTGTCCGACAGCAGCGTGTTGATGGCGTTGAGCACGCCCACCACGCGCTCCGGGTAGCACGTGTCCAGCCCGGTGACTTCGAGCACCACGCGCAGGCGGCGCCGCTGGTAGATCTCCAGGAAGCACAGGAAGTCGGTGAGCAGCTCCACCTCCTTCTTCACCTCGCACATGAAGCCCAGCTGGCTGCCGAACTTCTCGCGAGACACCAGCCGCTCGATCTTCTTGCGCTGGCTCACGAACAGATGCTTGCCCACCGAGTACACGGCCATGAGCAGCCCCGAGCCCGACAGCGTGGTGGCCGCGCCGCCGAACACCTTGAGCACGCTGCCGCCCGCCGCGCCCTGGCCGCCCAGCGACAGGTAGAGCAGCCCCACGCCCAGGCCGAGCGCGGCCAGCAGCGCCAGCAGCGCCAGGCACACGCGGCGCCGGCAGTGCCACTCGCGCTGGCAGAGGCCCGGCGTCGTGGCCGGCTTGTTGCCCAGCACCGAGTACAGGCTGAAGGGCAGCGCGCCGTAGTGGCGCCGGATGCCCTCGCACAGCGTGGTCACCAGGCCGGCCCAGAGCTTGTCGGTGCCCGCGTACTGCCAGGCGCTGAAGCGGATGAAGAGGAACTGCACGTTCTTGCGCCGCAGGTGCAGCTCGGTGATCACGGGCTGCAGGAACACCAGGTACCACAGCAGCCGCGGGAAGCCCCAGCCGCCCACGGCCCGCGGCCGCCACCGCACGCGCTGCAGCTCCTCGGCCTCGCGCTGCGCCGCCTCCTGCTGCATCAGCACTGCGGGGAGGGGGAGAATGGGGGCGGGGCCTGAGTGGGCGTGGCCTGAGTGGCGGGGCGCTCTGCGGCGGGGGGGGGGGGGGCGGTGAGCAGCGGGCCGGGACTTCCGGTGAGCCCTAAAAATTAGCAGGGCGCAGGTGCATAGGGTGCGGCCTGGAGGAGCTGGGGCTGGCTTTTAACCGGAAGCGGTCCGGGGTGGGCCCTGGTGGGAGGACGAGAGCCAGAGCCGGGCAAGGGGCTAGAGGCGGGTCTGAGGTCCAGAGGGGCTCTGGGGCAGTGAGGAGAGATGCTGAGGGTGTGAAATACAAGGCCGCGGAGACCCAGCCTGGTTTGCCACTCCTCCTCCAGGGAGCCCTCCCGGGTGCCAGGCTGAGCCGGGGGCTGGCTGCTCTGCCTAGTCTGGGACGCCAGCGCGTGCAGAACCAGGATGGACAGTGCCCCAGCAGGGCCGGGTCCCCTGGGCTCCGTGCAGGGGTGGAGGAGGCCTGCAGTGTGGATCTGGAGCCGCCCTGGGGCAGGGAATGGGAGCCGGGCGCGTCCCCAGGCTCGGCCCCCAGACCTGTCTCCTCCCAGGGCCCTTGCTGGTTCCTCTGACAGCACAGGGCCAGAACCCAGGCCGGAGAGCGAGCGGCTCGCCAAGGTAACAGCCTGCACCAGGCCTGGGGACCCAAGGGAGGGGGTCACGCCCAGCCCCGCTGAGCACTGAGCCCTGAGCAGCTTGAACCAGGTCAAAGCCGCCGCCTGCGGGGCCTGGCCAGGCATGGGCCCCTGTCTGCGGTGGGCATGTCCGCTGCCTTGCGGTGTCAGGGTGCAGGGGAGGGGCAGGACCAGCTGTGGTCTTCTGTAAGATTCTTTGGGGTGGACTCAGCGGGAGGGCGAGGAGGGGGTGAGACCAGGGAGGACCAGCAGGGGGTGTGGCTGGGGAGGGACCGGGGCTCCGCCTCTCATCCCCCACCCCCCACGCAGAGCCTCACTGGTGATCTTGTCCAGCATCATGTGCAGGCGGCAGCCGAAGGGCGCGTAGAAGCCCACGGTCACGGGCACGGGCACGTGGCACAGCGTCTTGGCCAAGCAGCTGCAGTAGGCGTCATCTTCCGTCAGGATGTCTGGGGCAGGGAAACCGAGTCAGCGGGCTGGCTGGGCACCGCCCCCCTGCCTGCCCACCCGCCCGCCCGCCAGCACCAGCATCCCTGCCTCGCTCGCGCCCACGGGTGGCGCAGGCCACAGAGGGGGCAGCGGCCGCAGGCAGCTTCCATCTCCAAGGCCACGCGTGCGTCCCTTGGGGCCCCACGGGAGGACCCGCCCCTGGAGCCGGCAGGCTGAGTCTGGGAGGTGGTCCTGGCCTTCCCTCGCCCAGGAAAGCTCCGCTGGGCTCTCTCCTCTCTCCCCCTCCACGGCCCCAAGTCCCTGCCCCCTCCCCGCGTTCCAGTCCTGGCCCCACCACCTTGCTCTGCTGCCCCCCGAGCGGCTCAGTCTCCTCTGGGAGCCGGCCGGGCCCTCCCTCAGTCGATGCCTGCGTCTCAATGGCCACTGAGGACCCGGGTTCCGCCCTGAGGGTCCCCGGGGAGCCATGCACAAGCACGCCAGGGCAGCCCTGCCCCCACCACCAAGCGCCACTTCTCGGACCCGGGCTTGAGGAGCCAGAGAGAGGACTCAGTGGTGGCTAGCACCCACATCCAGAGACCCGGGGGAGGGAGCAGGAAAGCAGCCGGGACTGGGGGCAGGGCCAGGCGGGCAGGCGAGGACTCGGGACAAGGCAGCTGAGGCGGCGGCCAGGGCGGCTCCTAGTCTGATGGCTGGGGGTGGGGCGGGGCTCTGTTGCCCTGGCTGTGAATTGGGCACCCTGGCTCCAAGGATCCAGTGACCAAGTCCCTGTCCAGCTTTGCTCCACAGTCAGACCAGGCCTGGACCGTGCTGTGTGTCCCCACCGTGGCCACCGCACGGCCCACCTGTGGCCCACGCCTCCGAGCCGTCCCCGGGACAAACTCCTGGGAGCCTTGCGCCTGCACCCCCGTGATGGGATCTGCGGCCCTCGCCTCGCTCCTCCCGCCCCCGCCTCCCCCACTGGGCTCCTGTCACTGAGCCCCTTCTTCCCTGCACCTGCGCCCTGTCTGCCCCGCTCCCCGCTGCGCCCCCAGAGCAGAGCCTGGCCCCGGGGCAGGCGCTCGGTACCCAGTCGGAAAACCACTGCTGCAGCTGCACGCCTGGCCTGGCCCCCGCCCCACGTCCTCCACGGCTGCTGGGCCAGCAGCGGCCGAGGGCCACCCAGCCTGGGGCAGCGGCACCGGGCAGTCCTGGACCCCAGCGGGTGAGGCAGAGGCAGCCCCCAGGCCCAGGGCGGCAGGGATACGCATCCCTCCTGGACAGGGGGCCGGAGAGCGCCGGCCAGGGAGCACGAGGCCTGGGCAGCGAGCGCGGCGGCTGCAGCGCCGGCAGAGGCGGGGGGGAGCCTGGGTGAGCACCGGAGCTGTAGGTGAAGGAGCCGCAGGCTGCCGGGGCGGGCAGCGGCCGGGCGTCCGTGGGCTCGCTGGGCTCCAGAAGGACCCCGGCTGCCGAGGGGAGGGCTGGGCCGCTGCTGGCCATGGCGGGGGCCGCGGTGGGTGCAGGGGGCTGCTGGGGGGCGGTGGCTGGTCCCACGGGGGCAGCGGTGGTCGCAGGTGGCCCCTTCTGGGCCCTGTGAACCGGGCAGTGCCGTGGGCGCGAGGGGCTGGGAGGTGGAGGCTGGGGCTGCCGCCGCTGCTGCAGGACGGGGGACTGGGGGCCCCGGCGCCGGCCACCGCTGCCGCCGCTCTGGGGGCTTTGGCAGGCCAGCCGCCAGTGTGGCTGGGGGGGTGGCCGACAGGGCCCACGGGCTCGGGAGGCCGCTGGGTCCTGGCGCCGCTGGTGGCAGCATCCTGGAAGGAAGGAAGTGGCGGTGACTGGGCCTGGGTCCCCTGGGGGCAGCGGCACCGACCAGAGGGGTCTTCCCTGGAGCATTCTGGGAAATCAGAGAGACGGCGGGGGTGGGGCCAGAGAGAGGAGGGCCAGGCCCAAGGCTCCTGCATTGCGGGAAAGTGGGCGTCCCTGCCGCCCCCAGTTCCTTGGGCCCCTGAGGGTCCCCACTCAGTAGGGGAACAGGGAACCATGGGTAGTGGCACAGAGAAGGGACAGCAGGAACCGGGGAGAGACAGCCCGGCAGGAAGGTGTGGACCCCGGTAGCTGGGGACCCACGCCAGTCCTCATTGAACTGGCTGTGAGGTGAGGTGAGGGCCCCTCCCCCACTGTAGTGCACCTGCAGCTAGCGTGGGGGCCGACCCCCCCAGCCTGACTCAGGCACAGTGGGAGGGGGCGCCCTCTCCCGTCAGGCTGCTCCCCACCCTGGAGGGGGCTCCAGGCCTGGAGATGGGGAGGGGAACTCTTCCTATGCTGTGGTCAGGACCCTCCCACCCCCTCTGGCCAGGACCCCACTCTGCAGGAGCCCCCATGGGGCTGCCCCAGGCTCTCCCCAGGGCCGTCGGGACTGTGTCTGCCAGCTGCTTGGCACTGCCCCCCCAGCCCCCCTTTACCTCTCTGGCGCCCTAGCTCGGGATCCAAGAAGTAGCGCTCGGCGGTGGCTCCGGTCCCGGCGCCCTTGACGAAGTGGACGCTACAGTTGCTGTGCATGGCAGGCGGGGCCGGGGGCCTGCTCCTGGCGCGGGAGGGGGACCAGAGCTCAGGGCACCCCCTTGACCGAGGTGGGTTCCCCGGGTCATCTGGGGGGACGGAGGTGCTCCTCAAAGTGAGAGGCCGCGATGGGGAGGGATGGCGGCGGGGGGGTGCTGCTGAGCGGCCGGGGGCTCACTGGGGGCCATGGGTTTGGGTGTCCAGGAGCTCCTGGGGCTGGGACAACAGGGAGTGAGTGCTGGGTGGGCGGGTGGGCAGGGAAACAGGCGGGCGCTGCTGGGAGTGGGGGGCGGGGGAGCTGAGGAGGGGGTGACACAGCCCAGAGCCAGGTGTACCTGGGAGGTGGGGGTGGGATAGAGGGGGTACCCAGGGACCAATGAAATCAGGCCCCCCCCACTCCTCCCGGAGGCTGGCTTCCGAAGGAACCAGACCTGCGGGGAAGATGCCACTGCCGCGGTGAGGACGGGCGGCCCGGCGGGGGGCCCTGCCCGCCCCCTCTCCCAGCCCGGGGTCCCCAGAACGTACCTGGCGGCGGCCTCGCGGCCCCAGCGCCCTGTCCCACGGGACGCCCGCGCCGCGCTGCCCGCCCGACCGGTTCTCCCGCCTTGGCCCCGCCCTCGCGCCCACCCCCCGCCCCCCGGGCAGCCGGCCCGGCGCGCGCTGCTGTCGAGGATCCGGGGGCGAGGGCCCGGGAGAGGGCCCGCCGCGCCGCCCCGCCGCTCGGGTCTCCCGGGGGCCCTGGGCGCCCCTGCCGCGGGGCGAGGGCGGGCAGTTCCTGCACCGCCGAGCTGTGCGACCTTGGAGGTGACCTCACCCCTCTGGCCTCGGCTTCCTCATTGCTGAGTGGGCCGGGGCCGGGGCAGCCTCTGCTGGCAGGGCGAATCAGGTGGGCGTCCCCCCGGCTCAGGGCCTGGCCCTCGGCGGGCCGCGGCTGACACGTGCTGGGCACGGACTGACCCAATTACAGGCACTGCTCCAAATCCTCGCGGGGTGGCAGCCCCAGCCCGCGGTGGAGGGGCTCCCCCAGGCAGGCTGGCGGGAAGCCCCGCCCTGACTCGCAGGTGGTGGAGGGGCTCCCCAGGCTCCGCCTCCTGGGCCGGTGCCCTGTGGATGTCTCCTTGGGGACACCTTTGGACAGGTGAGGGCCAGGGCAGGGCTGGACAAGAGGGACCTGACGATACCGTAGAAGCCCCTCTGCTCTCCGGGGGCCCATCTCCCTGCGTGCTGAGAGATGGGGTGGTCTGATGGGGCCAGAGGGGAGCCACACTGGGGGCCAGGGTCACAGGACCGGAAGGACCCCACCCAGAACGGCTCTGTACAGTCCTTTGGGGAAGGCTCTGCCCTCCCCCCACTCCCAGCACCCGGGCTGTGGCGCGTGTCCAGTGCAGGGCATGAGGTGTGTCTGTGGGTCCCCTGCCCCCAGCTCAGCATGCGCCGTTCCCTGGGTGTCCAGGGGGCACCCCCACCCACCCCACCCACGTCCCGGGGAGGCTGCCGGGTACTAACCAGGAGCCGGAGTTTGGGGAGTGGGCTGGGCAGGGGTAGGCACGTGCACTCAGCTGAGGGGGGCCGGACGGGAGCGGGATGGGGTCTAGCAGGGCAGTGTTCCGAGCGGGGGGCTTTGCCCCAGCCTCGGGTTACGGCTCTGAGGCTGGGGCTCTTACCTGCATCGGGCACTGAGGCAGAGCGGGGAAGGCGGAGGCCGGAGCCGCCCGGGGACAGACAGCTGGACTCTTGTCCCGGGTGAGACTCGGGGTTGCCAGGCTCAAGAAGTGCGACAGCGTGTTGGGGGTGGGTTGGGTTTGGGGCATCTGGCTCCACCCCCACACCGGCCATCCTCAGGACCCAACCAGCCCCAAGCCCGCCCACAGCCTGCTGCCAGGGAGCCCCCGGCCCTGCTCCCCCCGCCCCGTCCCCCACTAAGCCCAGGGCAGCCCCAGACTTGCTGGCATGGCAGTGTTGCCTGAGAGGCTGTCAGGGCCCCCTCCTGTGCCAGGCGCACAGAGTGGGGGGGGACCGAGGCCAAGGGCTGAGGAGGGTGGGGGGCCCCGGGCACCACTGGGCCAGCACGGCTCCCCGCTTGCCCCCACTCCCACCGCGAGCTGGATGCCACACACAGAACCTTTATTGAGTCTGGCACAGAGGGAGACACCCAACCCGGCCACCAGCCCTGCCCCCCCCCCCCCGCATGACCGATGGTGGCTGCGACCACCCTGCCTCACGGACCCCCCACCTCCCTCCGATGCCCACTTCCTGAGCGCCACGGCACTGGCCCGCAGCCCGGGGCCCCCGCATCAGCACCACGGCACTGGCCCGCAGCCCGGGGCCCCCGCATCAGCGCCACGGCACTGGCCCGCAGCCCGGGGCCAGGCCCCTCAGGGTTTCTGGATCATCACCTGGAACTTACCTGGAAGAAAAGGACTAGTTAGTGCGAGGCTGGGCCGTGGGGGGCGGCAGCGGGCACCCGAGCAGCCCGGAGATGCTCATCTCTGCCCTGGACCACGGCCTGGGTGGCCTGGGCCCGGCCCCGGTTTGATCAGTGGGTCAGAGGGGGTGACGCTCTCTCCGGCTGGCCTGCACCCCAGGGCTGGCTGTGTGGGTGATGAGAGGGATGGAGGCCAGGCATGTAGGCCGTGGGGAGGGGCCCAGGCTGCCGGCCTTCCCTGGCATGTGGCGCTCAGGACCTGCCCTCCTGGCCCCAGGGAGTGGCCAGCGGAACCGGAAGAGGGAAGGGCAGGTGCGGTGGGGAGGAGGCCTGCAGCCCGGCACCCCGCGTTTCCCGGGCCCGGCTGCCCCGGGAGCCCCCTGGAGGCCCCGCACCATGTCCAGCTGGGGCCCCTGGGATGCCTGGGCAGTTCTCTCCCGCTGGGTGACGAAAGCTCCCGGGGCCTCGAGTCCCACCTGTGGGACATGGGGCTGGGCTCGCCAGCTGCAGGGGCGAGGGGGACCCCTCCCCCGACTCACAGGCGGGCAGGGCTGCCACGGAGGCGGTGACCAAGCTCCTGAAGCCCAGGGTGTGCAGGCTGCCACGCAGGAGGCCACAGGGGAAGGCCAGGAACTGGGGCAGGGGACACAGACCACTGTGGGAAAGGGGGCCTGGGTTCCGGGCCCCCCACCCCAGGGCCCCTCCCCCCATACCTTGGCTGCTTCCTCCTGATACTGCAGGCCGGAGGCCATGGGCAGCAGGAGGGGAAAGCTGTTGTCCTGCAGCACGTAGGTCCCCTGGGGACAGAGGAGAGGCCGTGGCAGGGCAGCCAGGCATCAGCGCCCCGGGGGCTGAGGTCCCAAGGACCCTTCCCCTGAACCCAGGGTCACAGGTCCAGCCTCGGAGCTGTGGACGGCACGGGGCTTGGTGGCCCCCAGGGTCTCTGGGAGAGGCCGCGCGGCTGGGATTCCGGGAGCCTGGGGCAGCTGGGGACAGGCAGCGTCCCGCCCAGGCTGCTGCTGCCCGTGGGAGAGGCCCGGCCCGGCTCGGGGCTCCTCCTGAGAGGCTGAGAATAGTCCTGGGGCCCCGGGCATCCCTGTGTGGCCACGGCGGGGACTCCTGGAGCCCGCTGTCCCGGGCCGCGGTGCCCACCTGGTGATTGGTGCGCAGCCCGTCCACCTGCTTCTGGAACACGGCCACCCACAGGTCTTTGCACAGGAACTTGAGCGCATCCAGCTCCTCCCTGAGCGCCAGCGCGTCCTGGGGCAGCCTGGGTCGGGGCAGGGGCTCAGGGTGGGGGGCGCCGCAACCTTCCCCGGCCCCCGCACGCCCAGGAGTCCCCGGCTCTCACCTCTCGCCCAGGGCCTGGCCCACGCGGAAGCCCATGCCCTCCAGCACGGACAGGCTCGGCTTCTGTCCCTAGAGGGGCAGGGGAGAGAAGCTCAGGGCCCCCAGGGTGCCATCCAGGGGAGGGGACGCCGGTGGGGCCTGAGTCAGTGCCACGCCCCCACCCACCCCTGCAGAACTGGTGGGCTCCCCAGGGACTGGGGGAGGGACGGCTTCCCTGGTAACAGCTGTCAGGTACCATGGCCACCTGAGTCCACACGCCCTCCTCTGAGGTGGGCTCACGCGGGGACGGCACTGGCCGGGCTGGGCCGCTGGGGGTCTCGGGGGAGGGGGGCGTCACTGGTGGGGAGCAGCCGTGGCCGAGCGGTGTGGGGAAGGCGGGAGGAGGCAGGGCCCAGGCACACAGCTGCGCGGGGTCTCTCTAGCTGGTGACCTGGAGGCAGGAGGGGTGCAGGGCAGCCCGGGGCGTGGGAGCCACATTCTCAGAGGAACCCGGGGTGCAAGGGGTAGGGGACAGCGGAGAAGGCACAGAGCCCTGGAGGAGGCGGCTCTGGCCCCAGCTCCTGCCGGCCCTGCCCCCAGGACCCGGCTGCTCCAGCAGCTGCCATCCCAGCAGTGATGGGAGGTCTCCGTGGAGACCCCGCCCCGACAGGATGCCCTGGTCTGCTCCTGTGGGGGCCCAGTGGCCCAGGCTTCCCGCTTTGCACTCAGCCCCGCCCCACTCAGGGACGTGGGTTGTGGAGCCCAGCCCTGCCCACTCAGGGACCCAGCTCTGTGAGGCTGGGGCCCCGGGCCTGGCCCACGAAGCTGCTTCCGGGACAGGTGCCAGGCGCAGGCCCCTGGGTGGAGCCAGGGCCGAGCGCCAGGCGCACCATGGACCCTCTTGTTTGAGCTGAGCAACCCCACGGGTGGGCTCAGAGAACCTGCCAGAGGCCCCCACAGTCCCGGGGCTGTCGGGGAGCCACACGTGGCCACAGCACGGCTGTCAGGGCTCGGTGCGGGACTGGGGTGGCCGCAGCCTCCTATGGGACGTCACTGCTCGCCGACTGCCTCCGCACAGCAGGGCTCAGGGAAGGCTCTGGTGACAAATGACGCGCAGGGAGGTCCCTGCACAGGCGTCCCCCTCACAGCCGCACACAGAGCCCCCGGGGAGCAGTGGCTGCTGTGCCTCAGTTTCTCTCCTGGGGTCCCGATGAGGAGCGGAGGGGTTGGTGAATTAAGCCAAGTGCCAGGCGGGCTTGGAGCTGGCCCCGCCCTGGTCCTTGGTGGCCCCTGGCTCATGGTGGGGGGGAGGCCCCTGCCGGTGGGAGACCCACAAAGGAAGGGCTCCGTCATGTGCCCCGCGGCAGCCGCCACTCCTGAGCGGCCTCCAGGATTGCCCCCACAGGCGGCGTCGGTGCGCACCGACCCTGCCACTCTGTCCGGCTCCCGAGGACCCCTTCATGCGGCCCACAGCTGTTTCCCAGGTGGCCCTGGAGCTCGACTGCCGCGCCCAGACGGTGCCCACCCACAGCCTGGCGGGGCTGGGAGCCCGGGGTCCAAAGGACAGGGCAGGGCAGGGAGGGGGTTCCCGGCCGAGGGTGTGGTGAAGGCAGGGGCCGGCCTACGACGCAGCTTAGGCCTGACTCGGGAGTTCACCAGGGGCAGCCAGTCCTCAGGCCATTGCCACGTGTGCTGGGTGCTGGCCACGTGGTGCCCTGCCGGGCTGCTTGCTCATGGGCAGCACACGAGAACTGGCGGTGCAGTGTGTCCCCCTCCCCGGGTGGGGAGCAGGCTGGGCAGCCCCTCCAGGCCGGGTGGCGCCCAGGGGCTGAGCAGGGCCTGACGGGAGGCCGGGAGGGCTTTTCCTCTGGGAACGTGACGGTGCCGGCTTTGAGTCCTGGCTGCACCGCTTCCCGGGTGTGCGCCCTGTGCCCCGGCTGCCTCACTGTCCCTGCTCACTGCACTGGTGTGCCTGGCACCGGCTGCAGCTCGGCACCTGGGCTGCAAAGACCAGGGTGGGAGGGAGGGAAGGGAAGTGGGGAGCGGGCCCCGCCCCGGCCCCGCAGAACTCTGGGTACTGGGGTTCAGACAGAGGGGCAAGGCAGGGCTGCTCCCACTCGGTCTGGCGCGTGCTGCACCTGTCGCCGGGCAGCTGGGATGGCGGTGTGAGAGATGAGGGGGGCAGGACACAGCGCCAGGGGCTGAGGGAGATTCTGGTGTCTGGGGTTTTGCTGGGGTGGGGGTGGGGGTCAGGGTGGGCCTCTGTCCAGGGCAGGGGCAGGGGCAGGGGCAGGGGCAGGGAGACAACAGCTCCAGTACACCTGCTGTGTCATTTCCCTCTCCACTCTCCTCCCGGGGCTGGTCGCTGGCTGTGGCCACTAGAGCCGGTACAAGCCGGTTTTGTGGATCTGTCAGAGTCAGGAGGGGGCTGGGGTCCAGAGGCTTGATTGACGGGAATGGCCTGTGTCTGGTTAGGGGACAGCGCTGGATTCGCTCACCCTGGCCAACTGTGTTCCCAGCCTGCCTCGCCAGGAGGCAGCCACGATGGCCCCGTAAGTGGGTTCCTTCACCAATGAGAGACCTGCCCCGAGTCCCTGGCTCCTGGCTCTGACCCAGTCCTTGCAGGCACCTGGGCAGTGAGCCAGTCTGCTTTTACAACCCAAACCAGTGCCGTATCCACAAGCCAGGCCTGCGCTTGGCTCAGAGGAGCACACGCTGGACCAAGGAGAAGGGGTGGAGAGAGGAAGTGGAGCCGGAACAGGAGAGACCAAGCACGGAGCAGCCGGGGGGCCCAGCCAGGCCCTGAGAGCGGGGGAGTGCTGAGAACGGCTCTGGGGGTCTCGCTGCTGCTCAGGCCACGTCCATTAGACCGGGTATGGGTCCAGCATCAGAATCCCCCCGGGCACGGCCTCCCGCAGCCCTGCGGTGAGCCAGGCTGAGTAACCCACCCGCTGGACCACAGGAAGCCATCAGATCTTTCCAGACAGCGTGGGGGCCCAGCCGGCAAATGCAGCCAGAGTTCACGGAGGCCGGGCCCGGTCCCTGACCCTGCGACCCGAGGGGGAGGGGGAGGAGCTCTGCCCATCAAAGCCGGGGCCCCTTGATCTGCTAGGCCGGGAGCGTCACGCCCAGCTGCGGAATGAGCAGTGTGCGGCCCCAGCACCTGCACGGCTTCAGCAAGTCCCTGGCGAGGCCACATTGTGTGCCAGGCCTGGTGCCGGCCCCCGCGGGGCACAGGCCGGCCCGGGAGACAGGCGTCCATCAAAGGGCCGCACACGGGCACAGTTCAGATCCGTACGGAGTGTGATGACGGCTGTGAGGGTGGATGGGGTGGGGGGACCCAGACTCCACGGGGGGGAAGGGACTTGGAGCCAAGAAGGCCTGGGGGCGAATGGGAGGTGAGGGGGAGGCAGGTGTTCGGAAGCCATTAAGGACGGGGAGCCGAGGCACACGTCGCCCTCCCCAAGCCTGGGGCGAGGCACACACTCCTGAGCCCACCGGGAGGGACTGGAGTTCCGAGCGGGTCACCGCGGGCTCCCCGGGGCCTGGCACCCTGCAGGTCTGTCTTGCTCCCGGTGAGAACCCCCGGGGGGGGGGCAGGGCGCCCGAGTGTGGAGGGCTGTGGACTGGGTGCTGCAGCAATGACCACTTCTGACTCGCTTATTCCTCCCAAGGACCACCTCCGCGCGCTGAGCCCACTTTCCTCCCTTCTAGAAGGTTCTTCCCCCGACCCATGGGACCCCTTTCCTCCTGGCAAATGGCAAAGGCTTTCTGCATCCCCCTCCCCGACCCCTCTGGCCAGCTGGTCGCGAGTGTGTCCTGAGTCCACACAGGACAGGATGCTTGTCTGAGCGTCCAGCAGGCGCTCAGGTATGGCTGTGAGGTCCGGGTGACAAAGGGGGAGACCGAGGAAGAGGGGTTACGTCACGGTCCCATGCCCAGCACGAGCGGTGGTGGTCACTGCCCACGCCTCCACGCCCTCCGCTCCGGCCGCAAGCCGCCGAGTCCCGCCTCGCACACCCGGAAGCCAGAGCAGGGCCGGCGCTCGGACCCCGGCGGCGGCCGCGCCCCCTCCCCCCCGCTCCCGGCGCTCACCCCCGGGGTGGGGTCGGAGTCGGGGTCGTGATCCCACAGCTCCGCCACCATCTCCGTGTGCAGGAACTCGAACAGCACGGAATCCGCCATGCGCCAAACGCCCGCCCAGCGCTTCCTACTCCCATTGGCCAGGCTGGGCAGGCCCCGCCTCCCGCCTCGGCGCGACCCCGCCTACCTCCGCTTCCATTGGCCTTTTGGACTAGCCCCTCCTTCCCGCCCCGGGCTCACGCGCACACAGCGTGAGCCTGGGCGGTGGCGGGGAGGGCCAACTCCGTTCATTGGCCACACGCGACAACGTCTTCCGCCCTTACCTCAGTTTGTTCCCTACTTCCGGGTCCTCGAGCATTCCCATTGGCAGAATCAGTATTTACACGTGACACGCTTTTTTTTAAACTCCTATTTGCCCGCTACAGACTGCTTGCTGCACAACCCGGAAGCGCCAGCGCAGGCGCTTACCTATTGGGCGAACCTCTGATCACGTGACTCTCGCGCACTCCAGGCTTCAAAGCTCGTCGCGGACAACTTGCTTCCTGGTTTGTAGCCGGGCAGCACCACGTGACTTAGCTGCCAAGGCCCGCCCAACCCGCGTCCTATTGGCTGAGCCCGCAGCCCTTTCCCTGCCGGGGCGGGGCCGCCGCGCTTCGGCCAGGGAGCGGATTCCGCGGCCTCGGAGCTCCGGGGGTCTGGTAGGTCCTTCGGCGACGTGCTGCCCCTGGCCACCGCGAACGCAGCCTCCCTAGGGTCCCGCCGGGCTGAGGCCTGAGCTTCCGGGTCTGGGTGTGGCCTCCGCTCGGGCGCAAACGGCTCCCTGGGGCCGGGTCTCGGTTCCCCCCGCTGCACGCTGAGGGCCGGGGTCCGCGTCAGCACGCAGGGGGCTGGAGTGGGCGCGGGGCGGGGGGCCCGGACCCCGCCTCACGCCGCGCCTCGGTTGCTCTTGTCCCGCAGCTCCGCGCCATGGCGTCGCAGGGTCGTCGGCGGAGGCAGCCGCGGAGGCCGCAGACTGTGGTGCCGGGGGAGGCGGCCGAGACGGACTCGGAGCTCTCGGCGTCCTCGTCCGAGGAGGAGGAGCTGTACCTGGGGCCCGCGGGCCCGACGCGCGGCCGCCCCACGGGGCTGCGGGTGGCGGGCGAGGCCGCGGAGACCGACTCGGAGCCGGAGCCGGAGCCCACGGCCGCGCCCCGGGACCTGCCTCCGCTCGTGGTGCAGCGCGGAGCGGCGGGCGAGGCGTGGGGCGCGGAGGAGGCCCCGGCGGCCGCCCCGGCGCGCTCGCTGCTGCAGCTCCGGCTGGCGGAGAGCCAGGCCCGGCTGGACCACGACGTGGCGGCCGCCGTGAGCGGCGTGTACCGCCGCGCGGGCCGCGATGTGGCCGCGCTGGCCAGCAGGCTGGCGGCCGCGCAGGCGGCGGGGCTGGCGGCGGCCCACAGCGTGCGCCTGGCGCGAGGGGACCTGTGCGCGCTGGCCGAGCGCCTGGACATCGTGGCCAGCTGCTGCCTGCTGCCAGACATCCGCGGCGTCCCGGGGGCTGAGCCCGAGCAAAATCCGGGGCCGCGGGCCTAGCCACGGCCCTTCTCCCCCACCGGACTCTGCCACCTGGGGGTGGGCCTTCCCCCGCGTGTCCCCTGTCGCCTCCACCCCCGCCTTCCTGTTGCCCTCGTGGCTAACCCGCCCGCTGGGGCAGAGCCATGTGTTGGGTTCTGGCCGGGCTTATGTCCTTCCCGCCGGGGGCCTGGGGCTGGGCCGGGGTGACCCCCCCTTCTCAGCTGCACCTAGGGGGCCAGCCCCACCTCCTGAATTTCACACCCCCCCCCCTCCCGGGCTTGGTAGGGCTTCCATCTCCAGGCGCTGGTCTTGCTTGGCCACCTCGTGGCTCCTCCCCCTTGGGTTTAGCTCCACCCCCTCAGCCTGACACTGTACCCTAGGGTGGGTTTTGCTTCCTCTGGGGTTTCCCATCCTACCGACACCCCCCCCCCGGGCACCCCCCACGCCTTCCCTCCTGGGGCCCCCAATGAAGCCTCCCCACTCCAGACCTAGTGCTTGGGGCCGGTGCAGCCCGGTGCTCTGGGTGGGAGGTGGCACCGCTTTGGAGATAACCGCGGGCCTGGTGCTCACTGGTTCCCAGACCTCAGAGGTGCCGGGTCTGATTCTGCCAGGGGCTGCTGCTGCCGCTTCTCACCCGCTCCCTCCCCTGGGTCCTGGGCACCCTCCAAGTCTGGAGCCCGAGATCTAGGGAGAAGGGGGGGATCGTGGGTGGTGATGCGGGGTCCCGAGACCCCCGGGCCTGCCTTCTCAGCAGTGGGCTGCAGCTGGGCGGGCAGGGCTCTGCTGTTGTGCGCGGGTTGTTTTCCGTTCATTCACTTGCGTTTGGAGATGGGCACTAGGTGGGGGGAGCCCCCAGCCCTGCCGCCCTCACGGCCCAGCGGGGGGGAGGGGGCAGACGTGAATAAACCTGAACCTTGCTGGTGCCGGAGCTTAGGTGTGCTGCTTCTGGCGCTGTGGTTAGAGCCACGAAGACGTGCAGGCACCTGGTGAAGGGATCTTAGTGTGGGGAGGGGGTGTCCGGGGCTTCCCTGGGCCGTCCGGAGACGTCGGAACGCACAGGTGAGATGCGGGCGACACGCGAAGTTTCAGGCAGGAAGCAGTGTGTGCAGAGGTCCTGGGGAAGTAGCCGGAGGGGGAGTGGGGAGAGCAGTGGGGGAGCGGGGCCCCCAGGGGCCAGGCGGAGGCTCTAGGTCTTCCCTGAGTAGCCAGCAGAGCTGCATTGTGTGCCTCTGATGAAGCCTGGTGCTTCTGCCGCGGGGCTGCCCGTCGACCAGCCCTGGGCAGCGCCGGTTCAAAGACGGACTGCGTCCCCGCCAGCGTCCAGCCAAGCTCGGGAGCGGGCGCGGCCTCAGCCCGCAGCTGCCTGACGGTGTCGGCCAACACAGAGACGCGGGGGTTCGCGGTGGCCGGCGGGGGCCAGGCTGGCAGGAAGGAAATGGGCCCCCGCGTGGCCCTCACTCCCTGAAGAGCTACATGGTGTCGGGGGCCTCTGGGCCGTTTCCCCGGAGCCTCGGAACAGCAGGCCTGGCTCTGCCCGCGTGGGGCTCGGAGGCGCCCTCGCGGGTCCAGGAAGCCCCAGGCAGAGAGGAGCTGGGAGCGAGGTCGGCGGGAGCGGGAACCGCGCGTGGCAGCTCCGTAGCTCAAGTTCCCGGTGGGAGCCGGCAAGCACCCATAGGGAGGAGATGGCGGGCGAGTGTGGGCTGCCGGTCCCCGCGCCCGGGTCGGGCCGTGGGGGGACGGAGGCGTGAGCCAGTGCAGTGAGGGTGAGGGCCGACAAGCCCGCGGAGGCACGGGGTCCAGGGTTCACGCGCAGGGAGTCCCAGCATCTCTCGCCTGCAATGGTGGCTTTGTCTTTTTTTTTTTAAAGGTTTATTTGAAAGAGTTACAGAGAGGGAGACATACAGAGAGAGCTTCCATCTGCTGGTTCCCTCCCCAGATGGCCACAATGGCCAGAGGCAGGCCAGACGGAAGCCAGGAGCGTCTTCTGGGCCTCCCACGGGGATGCCGGGGCCCAAGCACATGGGCCGCCTGCCTCTGCCTTCTCAGGCACACTGGCAGGGAGCGGGGCTGGAAGTGGAGCAGCCGGGACTCGAACCAGCGCCCATATGGGCTGCCAGCGTCCCAGGCAGCAGCCTTACCCGCTGCGCCACAACACCGGCCCCCGACAGTGGGTCTATAAGAAGACATCACTGGGGCAAGTGTTGGGGTGCAGCGGGTAAAGCCACCACAGGGGACACCCACATCCCATATCAGAGCACCAGTTCCTGTGCAGCTCCCTGCTACTGCACTGGGAGGCAGCAGGTGACGGCTCAAGTCCTGGGCCCCAGCCGCCCACGTGGGAGACCCGGATGGACCCGGACACCCCCCCACCCCGCTATCAGATACATAAAAGAAGGCATGAGCGGGTGGGAGTATCGTCAGGATGCAAAGAGCGGCAGACAGGAAGAGGTCGCTGTCCACGGGAGGCCTGGGCACCCTCGGGTCTCGCTCCAGCCGGCAAACAGCAGGCGCCAGTGAAAACCGATAGGTTGCGTGCACGCTGTTGGCACCGCTCCCTCCTGAAGTCCCTGGACGTGGGGACGAGCCCCACGCTGCAGCCACGGCAGCACGTGAGTTCGGGGGTGGGACACAGGAGTGGAGGCACCGAGAACCCATCCTTGGGAGCTGGAGAGCTTGTGGGAGCGCCGGCTCCCACGTGAGCTACAGGCAAAGAGAAAATGCACCCCAGCCCGCCCCCCGGGACCCCAAAGGCTCAGAACCCGGTGACCCTGACTGCATCTGGCAGATTGGGGGGCAAGGAGCCTCTGTAGGAAGCTGAGAGGTTATCCAGTGGAGAACCGGGGCCGGTGTGTGCCCGAGGTTAAGCTGCCGCCTGCGACGCCGGTACTGCGCATGTTCGCTGGTTCCAGTCCCGGCTGCTCCACTTCTGACCCAGCTCCCTGCTCATGAGCCTGGGAGAGCAGTGGAAGATGGCCCACGTGTTTGGGCCCCTGCACCCACGTGGGAGACCCGGATGAAGCTCCTGGCCCAGCCCCAGCTGTTGCAGGCTTTGGGGGGTGAACCAGCAGATGGAAGATCTCACTCTGTCTCTGTGTCTCTGCCTTTGGGATAAATGAATAGGATTCAAAGCCTCCTTCTCCAACTACAGTCACATTCTGAAATGTCGGGGGTTAGGGCTTCAACCTAGGAACTTTGGGTGGACACAGTTCACATCACACAAAGACATTTTCCTGCCAAACTCCATGAAACCACGAGTCGGGAGTCGAACTCACTACTGCTCTGCAAACTTCAGACCCCTGCAGTTTCCCATGCTGTCCCCTCCACGCGTCATGCACGCATGGTGTTCTTTTAAAATTGTATTTGTACATGTGAGAGACACAAGATTTCCCATCCACTGATCCATGTCCCAAACTCCCACACTCAGCAGGGGCTGGGCCAGGCTGAAGCCGGGCGCCCAGAACTGCATGTGGGTCTCCCACGCGGGTGCAGGGGCCTCACCGCCACCGCCTCCTCCCAGGGTGCGCATTGCTGAGTTGGGAGCCCCGCTCTGATGTGGGATGCGGGCGTCTACACCGGCGTCTCCACTGCCGCTCAGACACCCAGCGAGCATCGCTTTGCTTTGA